ATAGGGGAGGACCTCCTCCTCTTCCATCTGACCCTAGTTTATCAGGTCTTTTCAGGACTGGCTGCAATGTCCTCTTCTGTGGCCTAGCAAGGCTGTTCCTCCCTTGGGGGAGGTGGAGTCAAAGAGCTAGCCATTGAGTTCATGTCAGAAATGGTCTCTATTCCCCTTACTAGATAACCTACTTGGATACTGAGCTACCATGGGCTACATCTGAGCAGAGGGTTCTAGGTTATATCCATACATGGTCTTTGGTTGGAGAAACAGTCTCATGAAAGACCCCTGTGCCCTGCTATATTTGGTCCTTGTAGAGCTCCTGTCCTCTCCAAGTCTTACTAACTCCCCCTTCTTACATATGGTTCCCTGAACTCTGCCAAAGTTTTGGTTATGAGTCTTAAAATCTGCTTTGATACACTGCTAGGTAGAGTCTTTCAGAGGCCCTCTGTGGTAGGCTCCTGTCTTGATACTTATTTTCTCCTACATCTAATGTCCATCCCATAATTTTTACAAATAAAACAAAAACATACTTGGAGTGAGAATAGCCTATTCAACAAATGATGCTGGCAGAACAGAACTTGCACTTGCAAAAGTTGAAATTTGATTTATATCTTTCACCTTATACATAAATAAATTCAAGGTAGGTCAAAGACTTAAATTTAAACCCTAAAACTGAGAAAAATTTTAAAGAAAACCCGGGAGATGCCCTTGAAAATATTGGAGTGGGTACAACATTGTTATATAAAACACCAACAGCACATGTGCTAATACCAAATACCACCAGAAGATGAATACATAAAAATAAAAAGTTATCTCTAAAACAAGGGAAACAGTCAGCAAAGTAAACAACCCACAGACTGGGAGAACAACCTTTATGAGCTGTAATTCAGCAGGGGCTAATATTCAAGAGTTTACAATGACTTGAAGACATTAAATAGCAGCAAAATCAAACCACCTGTGAACAAGTAAACAAAGGAAATGCATAGACACTTTGAGAAACAGAAACACAGATCAACAATAACTATTTCTTAAAATGTTCAGTATCCCTAGTCATTGGGGAAATTCAATGTAAAACTGCTTTGCGATACCACCTCCCTTAATCAGTATGGCTGCATAAACAAGTCTGACAGTGAATGTTCAAGAGAATGTGGAGAGAAGGGAACACTTACTCACTTTAGAGTACATGAATTAATTCAGACACTGTAGAAAAAGCTTAGGGATTTGGCAAAAATAAAAAAATAAAAATAGAAATAGAACTGCAATGCTACCCAGGTCTTTCACTCCTGCACAAACACTCGGAGAACTTCATACTCTAGTACAGTATAAAGATATTTGCATCCCATGTTCATTTCAGCTTAACTAACTATAGCAAAAAACTGGCACCAATGTAGTTGTTCATCAATACATGAGTGGATTGTGAAATTCTGGTACACACACACACACACACAAATTCTATTTAGTTTAAAATGCAAGAAAATGGGTGAACAAAGAATACAACATTAGGAAAAGTCACATCCTAATCTTTTTTTCATATACGTTTAGCCAATAATATCTGAGTTTACATAAACAAACCTGCATTTGGGTACAGTGTAACATGAAGAAAGGCTGTATGGAAGGGTAAGTGAGAGGACTGATTGCAAAGAGTGGACATGAGTTATGAAACAGGACATATGGATAGATGTTTTTCTAGCTCTAATTCTGTCATAGAAATTTTGGTTTGGGTGATGGTTAAGTATATAAAATACATTTGGTATTAAAAATGTGAAATCTAATATGAAACTCCAGAACTTTGTTTCAAGATGCCTATTCTGACTGTACAGAATTTTCTTGAGTTTTTATTATATCAAAGAAAGAAACAAGCTGCTTTTCACCCACGAGCAATTCATTTGTATGAGCAGGTATGTAGAGCTCTGTGGTCTTTCCTTTTGTTATTTAGGTTGATGCCACCCCAAAAGAGGTACATTTGTGTGATCTAGCTTCTTCTATAGATATTTATGTGGATTTCCTAACAATTGGAGGGTATGATTTTTTTTTTGTTTTTTTCACCATAGACAGTCAATATTTGTTAGTTTTTGAGACAGGGTTTCTCTGTGTAGCCGACTGTCCTGAATTTCACTTTGTAAAGCAGGCTGCTCTCAGACTCAGAGATTTGACTGCTTCTTCCTTTCTGGCTCTGGGATTAAGGGCATGTGCCACCATGCCCTGCAAGGGGAAGTTCCTATTACTCTTTTTTGTGATCCTACAGCGAGGAACTAGGTAGAGTTGAGTGCATCTTTCCTAAACATGCAGAACACTCTTGCAGTTTCTGGGCTTGTGGCAGGACTCTGCAGATCTTCATTTTCATCCCTCTGTATACCATATGCTAACTTTCTCTGCCTCATTGGAAGCTCTAGTAATGACTGTCCCTACCAAGATCCTGGCTGAGAAAGTTACCCCACATCAGACAGGTTCCCTTAGCAAAGAGCCCTTCATAGTGCCGAATGCCACGAGAATTCTGCAGACCATCTTTTAGCATACATTTACCACACATTTGAGTTTCTCAGGAGTAGGCCATTCTGGGTAGGGCCTTCATCTCTATAGTGCTATCTCTCTAAAATGATTTCTACCACTGCTGGAAGGTTTATACTGCAATTGTTCTTAAGCTTCCTCTCTTTAACCTTGGCTAATGCTCTCTGTAGCTGAACTCGTTTGAGAGTCATAGTCCTCCAGTCAGTCAATATCTGGTTTTAAAGTATTTCCTCCCTTACAGATTATTCCTTTCCTTCTCTACCCCTGTCTCCTCCTTTATTCTCTCCAGTTCTACTCTGTCTTCTGCTAAACTATAATACATTCTCACACTTGCCTACCTCACAGGAGAGCTGCTTTACAAGCCATCTGGTTTATTCCCCTAGAGGCTCCAGTAGTGTATGCGTATCATCTGCCTCCATACCACAAACACCTTGTCATCAATATGCATGTCCAACATGGAACAAAGTAACAAAACATTGCATATATATGTATATACACTGAAATGTTCCCACAGTATTTTTTATGTAATCATTAAAGTGAATCTTAAGTACTAACCAAACCAGGGTTCTACTCCCAGTGCATGATGTCCTGTGAGAGTTCATCTAAATCCCAACTAGACTGTGGAGTCATCTTCGATGCATCCTTTGTTCTTTTCACACAGAAAGCACTTCTCCATATATTCTTGTTCCATCTTCATGCTGATCCTAATATGACCTTTCTCCTCATTCTTTGTGGTAATGATTTTAGCAGAAAATGTGTTTTCACGTAAGTAATGACATGTATTAGCTAAACAATTCCACTCTTTACATTATTGCCTCAATTTACTCTAAGTGCATTCCTTGCTCATTTTTGGAGGAACTCATTATCTCTATCAGAGGGATGGGAGAGATGTTAGAAAGGGGGAAATACATAAGATAATGTTTAATAACCCAGAAATGAAAAATTACAAGAAACTGAGAAATTGTGAGGGAAAAATGGGTGGCTGAGTAGCCCATATAGCCTAGGCAGTTGTTTTTATTTTCTTAGTAAGATAAACCAGAGGACAAGTAAAAGTCTACTCAGTTCTGGCTTTGAAATGTGTTTCCTTTCTCACTGTCACTTAATTATTTCTCAAATGTGATGTGCTTGAGTATGATTACTACTTTTCTTTCTGATGTGAATTTAGATATTCTATAAAATTTTATAGACATAATTCTTTTTTTAATTTAATTTTATTTTTTTCTTATCAGTTACATTTTATTAACTGTGTATCCCAGCCGTGTCCTGCTCCCTCATTCCCTCCCAATCCCACCCTCCCTCCCCCATCTCCTCCCTGCCCCTTTCCAAGTCCACTGATGGGCGGGACCTCCTCCCCATTCATCTGATCCTGTTTTATCAGGTATCTTCAGGACTGGCTGCGAAGCCCTCCTCTGTGGCCTAACAGGACTGCTCCTCCCTTGGGGGGTGGGGAGGTCAAAGAGCCTGCCATTGAGTTCCTGTTAGAAATAGTCCTTGTTCCCCTCACTATGGGAAACCAATTGGTTACTGAGCTGCCATAGGCTACATCTGGGTGGAGGTTCTAGGTTATATCCATACTTGTTCCTTGGTTGAGTATCAGTCTCAGAAAAGACCCTGTGCCCAGATATATTTGGTCCTTGTGAAGCTCCTATCCTTTCCCCATCATACTAACTCCCCTTCTTTCATATGATTCCCTGTACTCTGCCAAAGGTTTGGTCATGAGTCTTTGTATCTGCTTTGAAAACACTGCTTTCTTAATAAAGTGGGATTTGTTGCTTTCTTTGGCTATTTCGCTGTGAATTCTTTCTCAACTTTAATTATTGAAGTACCATGTATTTATGAGCTTTACAGATAGAAGACAGTTCATGGGATGAAAAAGTTTATTATATTTTCATGCCCACTGTATGTAGACATTAAGATTTTATTATCAACCATGGTCGAGTCTTTTAGAGGGTTGGATAACTCATGCTCGTTCCTCATTAGAATATGACATTCTCATCTAAATAGTCACTTGCATATAGCAAGTGATTGTTTTCTTGGAAGTAGGGGACAGAACTCGGGGACATAAAACCTCATCTTTATGTATTAGTGATATAAGTAAGAGTCAAAGCCAGTGACCTTTGAAAGCTTACAACTTCTCAAAACAGAGGCTTCAGGATGTTACTTGTTCCATATTACAGATATATTTGTCAATATAGAGTTAGTGATGTCATAACGAAGGGAAAAATGAAAATATGTAAGTGACTCTTGGTCAGAGATGATGGTAAATACCTGCACATGTAAAGAAGCATCTGACCCAAAATGTCAGTAGTAGTGCCCTCTAAAATTCATTTTTCAACCATTTCCACTCCATGGATTGAACACAAATGTGTAAAGAAGTCAGTTATCCATATGATGGTGGTGGTGGGGAGTCTACTCTGGAGGTGAATTTAGAGGAAATTATGGCCTAAAAACACCAAGAGCAGTACTTTTAAAGGAGACATGAAATGTCAAGAGTCCTTTTAACAAATGATTTCACAGCTGGTGCTTTGGGGAGTTTTTGTCTCACTTCCTCCATGGTTCACAGCACTGTGTCTATAGTCACTATCATAGGATTGACAATAGTAGTCGGCCTCATCTTCAGCCTGCACGTTACTGATGGTCAGAGAGGCTGAGTTGGAGGAGCTGTCAGTGGAGCCAGAGAACCGATCTGAAATTCCGGATGGTCGCTGATCATCTGCATAGATCACATTGGTGGGGGATCTTCCCTCGTGCTGCTGGTACCAGTTCACATAGCTGTCTCCAATGTTACCACTGCTGCCCAGGCAGGAGATGGTGACTGTGCTTCCTAGAGACCCTGAAACAGAGGTTGGCTGAGTCAGCCTAAACTGTCCCCATGACCCTGTAAGAAGAAAATAATAAAAGTCAGTAAGCACAAGGCAACCCCAATCACAGACAAGCCTATGCACCAAATATCCCAAGAAACAGGCAGTTACTCTCCCAGAATTCCTTCAGTCAACTCACCTGCTAAGTGATAAAGGAAGACAAGGAGTAGTGGAGCCAAAGTCATGGTGAAAACACTCAGATATGGCTTCCTGAGTTCAGTGGACAAGCTATAGCTCAACACCCCTTCTTATCTATCTCTGGGATTCTAGTTGTATGCTGCCTGTATGCAAATACCCCTCTTCCAGTGATATTAAAGCCCCTCCTTTTATTTCAGACTGAGTCTGACTGATAGATGGAAAGACTGCTTATGAAGAAGCTGTGGGCTTCACCAAGGGGCAGGACAGAAAACCTGAAAATGAACGGAAAACGGAGAGGAGTGGGGAGCGTGGCCATGACTCCCAGTGCAACCATGTCTTGTTACCTAGTACGTGACTAATAGGGTCCTAACTGCCAACAATGAGACCATATGAGAACTCAAATAGCCACTATCTGGAGTCCGAGTGGAACATAAATTGTCCCATAATATAATTCTGTCAATGTTAACGAAAGCAGTGGGTAACCCAGTTTACTTTTGCAGAGAGAATCAGTGCCTGGTTTGAGAAGAACTATCATCTTTTACTCTAAAAGTCCTATGGTTATAATTGTGGCCATTTCTAGGTAAGAATTTATTAGAGGAATGTATTTAAGAGTTTATCTCAGCAGTTAAGAGTTCTTGCTATTCCTGCAGAATATGTGAATTTGATTTTCAGCACCCATGTCAGACAGTTAAGAACCTCCTCTGATGATAGCTCTAGGGGATTAGATGTCTTATTTTGGCCACCTCAGATATCCAGACTCACTTGTTTACACACACGCACACTTTTTAAAATAATTCTTTAAAAATAAACAAGAATAAAGAGTAGCTTTAATATAACTACCAAATATTTATTGGGAAAGATATCTGGGGTAGCCATGCAAGATTTGGGAGAAAAAAAATTCTTTGTACATGGCACTCATTAAACTGAAAGATTGCTCTACAAAAATGTATAATTAAAATACTATGAATTTTTCATTTCTAAAATGTGAATAGATTAAAACTTTATTTCATTTTGCAGTTATAAACATTTCATCACTTTTGTTTTTACACACTAACAAAAATCCAGCTTAGCTTCTGATTAAATACATTTTGTGCATACAAAATTTGATGATGAGTGCTACAGACTAAGGCTCAAATAAAGACTATATAGTGGAAGTGTATAATGGTACAAAATTCCAAAATATACAATAAATTCTGAAAAAAAAATGAGAAACATAATTACATAAAAATATCACTTACACTTACATATGTTATAGATGAAGAAAATTCTTCAATTTTAAATCTGATAATGAGTACGCAAAATATTACACTTAGCAGCCAGAATTGGATCCTGGAAACATCTCTGTGGTATCCCTCCAGGCCATCTATGAAACAACCGAACAACATGGGGCAGAAAATAAGCCCTCTTTGTAAAGAGCTAAGCAGGAACCGGAAAGAAATGTAAAATGGTTTGGAAGCATATTGAAAAGTAAGTCACAGCAGAAGGAGTCCACACAATGTCAAAGCGATAAGAAGTACGTTGCTGTCTACCTCTTCAGCGGTACTAGAAATTAGGCCCTGGTTCATCTTTAGAAGACCATGTTCATGTGTGCTATCATGGTAGACTTAAGTGGCATTCAGTATCATGGCAGGGTGTTCAGTGATTGCACATTTTTCTCATATTTTGCAGATACATGGCTCTGAAAACTCAAAAGCTATACACCAGTTGGCACTTCAGACCCATGAGCCAGATCATTGTAATTCTCTTTCTGAAAATTTGTGATGTCATGCTACAAAGAACATAAAACTATATTCTGGTCCCTTCTAATGGTTACAATGAATAATGATCAGGTTAATGTAGGAAATAGTTGGTAATAATTTGAGTAAAACATTTTCTTTGTTCACTAGTGAGGTAGACTTGTAATATAATATCATGCCAGTGAGGTCTGGTTTTAAATTCAATAATTATTTTAAGAAAGAAAATTAAGTTGCTTCATATATGTGTTATATTATAAGTTGTATGCAGACATCAAATATATGACTGATGCAAACACACACACACACATACACACACACACACACATAGTCAATATATACACTAACTACCATCTGCCACATATTAGGTTGGAAGAAACAGTGAAAACAAAGAAGCTGAATTTGTCATCTAGCATTCTAAGAAAATCTCTTTTCTAACAGTTGAAAATTTGTAGCATTAGAAGGATGAAACAATGGAAAAGAAACTATCAGATTGTATGTGCTGAGATTAGGTTATTAAAATGGGAAATATTTAATTTCTGAGTCGCTTTTCTATGTTAAGTAGGAACTGTCCAAGAAGTTATGAAATATTTTGTTACTAGAAATACTTTCCTGAACAATGACTTCATCCATATGAACAAGGAAGTAAAAATCAAAGTTGTCAGTTTACTTTTCATGTGGGCAATGGGACCTAGGAGCAGGGAGGTTCACAGACTAGCTCTTGGGTAATAGTCCTCAATGGCATCACTACCTGTGCAAATGTGGGGAAGGAAGTAGTGATTTCTGAATGAGTTGGTCTTGTCAGCAGCTTTGTCTTCTCAAGTGCAGTCCATCACTGCCCCCTAATGGGCATGGGCATTTGGATGAGAAGTGCTAGCAGCAGCATGGTGGTCAAACTGTTTCTTCCTGGGAAGGAATTGTAGATGGGCTAAAGAAACATGGATAGCAAGGAAAGCAAAACCAACAGGCTTATTGAAATGGCTTCTTCTTGTTCCTAGAAAACTCTTGAAGGAGAAATAAATAAAAGGTACAGGGAGCAGGGAGTATTAACACAGAACTAATATGGACAAGGGGAAGGATACAGGAGCCCTATAAATTACCCAAGCCAACATCTATTATCTGTGTAACAGACTCCTGTCTTTTCTCATTCTGAATGAATAATGCGGCTTCTCCACTACTTGGCCTTCTGTATCTCCCAGTCATTCAGATTTTTCTTCGAGGCAGAAAACAAACTTGCCAATTCCCTAATCTTTCCAACACCACAGTTACATTCTTGGGGTATCTCCTCTAGGATTAGACATGACCTTTTCTGAAGCTAATATGCCTAACTGAAAATCACAGAAAAGAACTTGGAATTAAGCCATGACCAAGAGGCACTCGAAGGCCAAATTCCACATAAGTGAGACTTCTCCATGAGTACATGGCTCACAGATATGGCCGTTTCCTGTTCCCAGAAGACTGTGTGAGGAGAAACTGCATTGAAAGCATAGTTGTGGTGTCTAGACAAGACAAATATGGGAAAAAGCAGGACCCTGGATCCCTATAAAATACCCAACTGGCATATGTTTAACAGACCTCCAGCCTCAGGCTACTCTCTTCCTGAATGTTGAACGCTGTTAAATTTCCTTTTGTTGTAGCTAGGAATATGTCCTTGCCAGGCATTTGATACTTTGTCTTTGACAGGAAATGGACTTGAAAATCCTATAGACAAATATCACACCTGTGTTAAAGGAATGGCAACCAAAAGGAAACTAGTTTATTGCTCTGTGATTAGATGGCCAGATGGTGACATGCTGCTTAACAATTCAGATTGCTTATGTCACATGCCTGAGGACATATGGCCAGTTAATCTGTCACCTATTTACCTCAAAGAAAGTATCATTTAATACAGTGGTTCTCAACTGCTGGGTCGTATATCAGATATCTGGCATATCAGACATTTACATTATGATTCATACCGGTAGCATCAAAGTAATTTTATAATCACCACAACACGAGGAACCATAGTAAAGGGTCACAGGCTTAGGAAGAATGAGAATCTGCTGGGATAGACATATTTATCATTGAATATTATTATGGCTGATAACAGAAAATCTTCAGGGTGGCCATCACTATCATAGATGCTCTCTTTATCACAATGAAATGATAAAACAAAGTACCTATCATGCACATTCTTGCATGAAAAAAAACAGAAAGAATGAAAGCATATGTGAATGTTTGCATCTGAATGTGGATATGGGGAATAGTCGAGAACATACAGTCAGAGCCAACATCATCTGTGTTTATGAAGTGATATCTGTCTCCCTCTTGTCCACAAAACTGGAAATAGATGTGAAAAACACAAATATTTTACAGGTGGAAACAAAAGAAAATGATACAAGAATATTTTTCTTTTATTGAAAACATTTTTACATAATATATTCTAATTACAGTTTCTTTTCCCCCAACTCCTCCCATTTTCTCCTCAATTCCCTTCCCTTCTCTATCCATACCCTTCCTCTCTCTCATTAGAAAGCAAATACTGACCTAAGAAATGATAATTAAATAAAAAGAAAATGTAATTACATTTAAAAAATATGGAACAGGAAAAAGCAACCAAATAAGAAAAAAAATCCAATGAAGAAGTAGAAGTGAAGAGACACAATCATTAACATTTACAGAAATCCCGATAAGGATCTCTTCCCATGGAAACCAGAGCTACCATTACCATGCAGCAGTGAAAATACAACATGGAATAGAAAATCAAAGAAATCAAAAAGAAAAACTGTCTACGGGGCCTATCAACAGGAGAATACTGGCTGTGGGCAAAACATGGAGATGACAGAGCTTCCAGAACGTGGTTACTAGGGAGTCAGATTTGATCTGGGTTTTGGGCAAACAGGGTGTAGACAGAACAGGAACCTGATTCCAGCCTTCACATATTGGGGAAACTGTATGTCATTCTAACTCTTGATATTTAATGCAGGAATAATTCTATCACCTTGGGGATGAGTGGATCCAGAAGTTTCTATGACAGGAATTGCATGAGAACAGTGTTAGAGAGAGCAGAGTGGCTGTCTGCTGAGTGGCTGTTTCTCCAGAAGATACATTGTGAAGGCAGCTAGTCCTCACAGCCTAGCAGAGGGAACCTGCAAACAGAAGGAGAATAAATGCGATAAGACCAGAGTAGACGTTCCCATGGATTGCTTGCTCAGGTGGGCAACGTCAGTAGGAAGTGAGATGCACATGTCTGCCTGTGACTTGAGCGAAGAGCAGGAGGAAGGGCAAACCCAGACCCCAGCATGAGGGACACTAATCCTGGTTGTGCTGTGGGGAGGCCCTGCTCAAGCCTCATTGTATCCAAAACTCATGCCAAATCCA